GAGAGAGAGAGAGAGAGAGAGAGAGAGAGAGAGAGAGAGAGAGAGAGAGAGAGAGAGAGAGAGATTAAAGGGTTGTGGAAAGGTCCCTATGGATTATATTATTTCAATATTTATTTAAAAAAAAACAAAATGGTAAAGGGGAAAATAGTTTTTTTTATATGAGGCAAGGACCAACAACGTGACAAAAACATACATTGGCATGATCCGAGTTAATAAATCCTCCCTAATAAATAAAGAACTTTTTGTCACATGTTCTCTTCTCCTTCATTTGGACACATGGCATTTTCTAGAATTTTTGAATTTTCTATTTTCCACTTGTCATTTTATTGTATTTTTCATTTTATTAAATTAAAATTCCACATTTTAATATGTAAGGTAATATATATGTAAGGTATTTATTTGAAAGGGTTTATATATGTAATGTATTCAATAAATTAAAACCTCATTAATTTTAATAATTCAAAAAATTTCTTATAAATTCAAACTTTTCAAATTGCTAAGATTTCATATTTTTTTTTTTTAAATAAACCCATGTAATACATGGGTTTCACACCTAGTAAATAAATAAATAATAAAAATAGAGACCAAACACATAAATTTTTCAAAATATACAAGACAATTTATGTAATTTACACTGGTTTGTACATAATTCAAAGTTTTATATAGTGGTTTTTTGAAAATAAAAAGAAAAAAAAAATATTATTTTCATGGTTAAACTGAAAAAATAATAAATAAAATAAAATAAAATCTAAGAATTTGCACAAAATAGTAAACGTAAATGTTTGTAGTTTAGATTGGTGAGCAAGCAAAGGGAAAAAATCAGCGCCGCTAGGCTGCATGCGTAGGTTAGCGACGAGCGCGAATAGAACTCAACCCACACGTCCATAAATTCTCTCCTTTCTCCGGATATGGAATTTTGAAATTCCTCTTAGAATTCCTTGGCGTTTTTCTATTTAAACTCCAGGGTTTTTATTTGATCTGATCACACCACTTGCTATGGAAGTTGAAATCGACATGATGGAGTGCGATAATTCGATTGTAAAGAACGTTAAACACGAAGAGGTATATATAGTCACAGATGTTCAATTAATTAGGTCATTTGGTTTACTTAATTAATGCATGTTTTATTCTCCCTTCGATTAACAAACAAGCAACACTTGGAAAATTTATAAAAATTGTATAAATATGTGGTAGACCTAAATTTAATAATGCCTTCGCTTTTGCAAATGGTTGCTAGTATGTTCCGATTACTACTGTTCGTTGGCAATCGAATTTTCAATAGAGTTTTTTCTTTTTTCTTTTTCTAAAATCAAGTATTATATTATCTGAAACACAATAATCAAAATTAGTAATCGTACTTGTTTTCAATTGGATTGCTATTTTCTTTTTTTCTAGAATTTTGCTAATTTGGTGTTATGCAGCCTACCAGTGAAGCTGGCACATCTGGATCTTTAAACTCAGATATGTCATACCATGATGATGATGATGATGATGAGATGATGGATAATGTGGATGATGTAGATGATGATTTTGATTTAGATTATGATGGGGATTATATGTTTGAGATTCTTGAGTCAGCCGATGAGTCTCATTACTTGAGCATTCAATCCCGATTTGATAATATCAATTTGCCTCCGGGGGTAGAAGTGTCTTTTTTCTGGTTAAACAACCTTCCAACCGTCAAATCAACTCAGAAAATTCCGGTTTTACCCTTGAAGGACACTGATTCTAGCAGTTTACCGGACCCTCCAAACATAAATTCGACTACCTCTAAAAAGGAAGATCCAACCGAAGAAGCAAATAAAATGTTTGAACGGTTAAAACTTGTTCGATAAGTTTGATATTGTTGATGATTCTTCTGAATTACAGTAGTGCTTTTACTTGTGCCCTAAGTAGCAATTTAGGTTACTGTTTTTTTTTTGTACATATATACATATAAGATGCAAAACAACCAACAATATCCACATGTAAATATTTCGTTTTTGCTCCCTGAGTTTGTTCAAAAGTTTTAGTTTTGATCCAAATTAGGAAACTATTGAAGAAAATACCTTTTCTGAACAACCACATGGACCAAAATTGTTGTATGAAAATATATTTTTTGGTGTCTACGTAGCATAAAAACCATTCAATCAGTAAGCCAACATACTTTTCATAAAACCAAAGACATGCATAAAAATATTTGTTAATCTAACATAGCAAGCATTCACTACAGGTACCTCAAAATTCTCTACTTTATCATATCATCATCTACTTCCCCTTCATGTTAATCCTCAAAAACCTGCAAAACATTTCACAAAAATCAACCAATTATTGTCCTTTTCTAAACAAAAATAGTCCCTTAAAGATTAAAGTATGTAAAAAAAGTCATAAACAAACATACATCTTTTTGCATAACTAACAGAAACTGAAACTCCACTTTACACAAACCATACAAACTCTACATATCAAAACATATGTATCTAATCCAAAGTTGTTCCTACACAAAACACAGAAAATTCACATGTGAAAAACTTCAAGAGTAATTGTAAAATACTATCAAAATAATAATATTACCTCATGCTTTAGATTTCTTCCCAACAATAATCTTGAAAATCTGCAACCCACGACTAAACGCATCATTAAACAAAATCCTTGTTTGCATCGATTGAAACCCAGGCATCCATGACAAAAACGCAACTGGACTCAAAACAATCACTCCAAACATGATATCATAAGTCCTTGCAACCGAAACAACTGTCCCCCAAATCCTAGTTTTCTCCAAAACCGGCCTAAAAACTTGTGCAATCGAAACAAACCCCCAACCAGTTGGAACAAACGCCAACAAACTCGTGAACAAATCAAGAAACTCAAAATCCGTAAACTCAACCAACCCAATAATTATCAGCACCCCGAGAATTATAACCAGAAATTGAACCAATCGATAGTAGATATGTTCTTTAGCACCATATTTATCCCTCGCGTATGTTATAATCGAGTAAATCACAAACGCCACCAAAATATAAATCCAAGAAAGTAAATAAACCGCGATGCTTTTACTATTCCCCGCAATACCCAATTGGTAAACAATCCCGTATTGGAAAAAGAAAAACCGTAAATCCAAAACGATTTCAATCACCTTCCCGAAAATACCCGTTGTCCGTAAATGATCTTGCTCCTCATCCCACCATTTTTCCCAACATTGTTCGGATTTTACGAAAACGCCCCCGCGAAACCATATCCAGTTCATGAAATCGTCATAATCGTAAACCGTTTTCAACCAATCGAAACCGGAAGGATTGAAAATGAATGGAGCCATAATCCAAGAGAAAACCAAAAACCAGCTTGAGATTGTTAACGCGATGTAAGTAAATGAGTTTTTAGCAACCGGACTGTATCCCGCGTAGACAGTGAGAATTAACCCGAGCTCGATTGCTTTAATGAAATGACTACGCGCGTATAACCGGTAATTATCCGCGAAGGATTTGTGCTCGACCACAAACCCCCGCCCGGTTGCCCGGTATTTCGCTCCACCGTGAAGAATCGTCCGCCCGAAGTAATGCGCCCGGGTGCCCAACGAGAAGGTGAAAAAAACCGATGATAATTGTAATTGCATTGTGATAAAATCCCAAATTGCAGATAAAAACCCGAGTTCAAGTGAGTTCTCGATTATCATCGGTAACGCGGTGAAAATCCCGAGCTGGACGATAAACTGTTGGTTCAAAATCGTCCCGAGCGCGGTATTTGTGTTTGCGTTACGGGACACGGAATTTTCAACTCCACTAAGCGCGAGATACAATCGGCCCCACAAAAACGCGTAAACCGTTAAAGAAATCATCAAGGTGTTGAAAAAGAATCCAATGGTTGTGAAGTAAAACGATAACATCCGGAAGAAATCGAGTCGGTGGCCTAACCGGTATACATCCCGGCTCAACACTTGTTCGCCGTTTCCACTTGCGACTTTTGCTTCAAACATTGAGACTTGGTTTAATCCGACATCGCGTCCTTTGCCAACTTGGATGTATTCATGGTGTGTCACGTTTCCGCCACGTAACGTGCAATTAAACCCTGCGAAAATGTCTTCACTTAAGTTGATTAGCCTCGAAGCTTTGCTAATCCCTCCACGTGTCATGAACCAAAACCGATCGAACACATCCGGGTGTCCGTAATGTAAACGGATTTTCAACGGGTTGGCTAACACCCGTTGGCCCAATGTCACGAAGCTTGTTTCTTGAGCCGACATGAACCACGCGAGCGACGAAACGGACCCCGTGAAGATGTTTTCGCGGACTCCTAGGATTGTTGGCTTACGGATACCGTAATATTGTCGGTATTCTTCTAGAAGGTTTCGGATTTTTAACGCTTCTTCGAAGTAGTTGTCTTGGTTCATGTCGATTGTTTGAACTGCATCTCCTCGGGTGAAAATTATCGCGTGGTTTTGGTTCTCCGGCTTTCCTTCCCCGAGCTTCAACGGGCCGGGTAATTTCACCCGGTAAATCTCAACCTCTTTTTCGAATTCCCGATCGTATTTCACGAGAACCGAAAAATACTCGGTTTTCTCGGTTTTGTCACGCCCGGGTACCTCATCCACGTAGGCGACACGTAGCGCTTTGTTGTTTTTCATCAAATACAAAATCTCATCTGCGTGTGGATCCTTTTTCGACTTTTGTGTACCGTAGATTTGACACGCGACGACATACGTGTATTTCATGAAAACCGTACCGTCATCACCACCACCACCGCCGCCGCCGCCGCCACGGTGTTGGCGGCTCATGGCGGTGAGTTCCCGGGAGCCTTCGTGGATGTCGATCTCGGCGGCGGAATCAAGAAACGCGAGCATTTTCAATGCGCGATAGTAATACATCATTCCTCGCACAGTCCGGGCAAGTGTTTGACCGCGATACGATGCCCACATTCGAAGCTCGCGGAGTTTATCCGTCCACAATTCCGATTCCGATTTCATCCCTTCGCGTTTCATTCTTTGTAAAAAGTTTTTCCATTCATCCGCGTAAATCGTCTGCAAATAATAAAGAGTGGAAACACCATCTTCGTTCTCGGTTCTAAGTTGTTCTTTATTGTACACGACTTCTTCATTGTAGTAAGGTGTCAAGACACTAAACGCCATCATTTTTTCAACTTGTGGAGCATGTGGCATGTTCATAAACAACGAGTTGCTAAAAAACGCGATCCTACGTCTCGCCTCGAGGTTCACCGGGACATTGTTCATCGCGTCCCGGGATGTAAGAATTGTGTGAAATCGTCTCGCCTGTCGATAGAAGCTTTCGTTATCCAAATCGGGCAACTCAATAGCATTCTCGAAAAGGAGCCCGGTTTCTGACAAGTGAGGGGCTAATCCGTCTTCTTTCAATTGATCCATACCCCGTTTATCTTTAAAGAAATCCCGTGTGGAAATCTCGTATAATGCTTGGAGGGTGTTCACGATTTTGTTTAAATCTTTCGTGGGGTTTGTTAAAAGATTCACAAGAACGATTGTCTTCGTGTGGATCTTTGGAAGTGCAAGCATGTTGAAAGTCTTTGTGAACTTTTCGATTTTGATCGCGTTATCGATTTCTTGAAAGAAAGTTGAGATAACCGAGTGTTCGGGAGTGTTTACCTTTACTATCGTGAGCAGCAAGTGTCTCACGCTATCGTAAGCCTCGATTACAGCGCACCTTCTGTACTCATTCTTCGCCATTTTGTACCAAAGCCATTTGTCAGGGGCATCCACCAATTCTTTAGCTTGACCAAGAGCAAGAAGCAGTTCATTGCATAATAATAAACATGGCCAACGGATCACACTAACATTCCAACTATTTTGAGGCAATTCAAGTAACTCAACTTCATGGTCACTGATTATATCTTCTTCACGAAATGTTGAGATGATTTCGTTCCATACTAACGCGAATTTGTGAGCTTCGATTTGGTTTGATTCGAGTTTCTTGAAAGGTCTCCCGAACCCGTATCGTAATTTCAATCTGTGAACAGCGTCTTTGAATTTAGTCTTGAGAGAGCCTCGTGAAGTTAACATTTGTTCTTGGGGCATGAGATTGAATTGCATTGCACTTGCGAAGAACTGGAATCGGAGTCTTAGTTGTTGGATGTTTCGGATTTCGCCCAAATGGTTGAACAATCCAACTGCCATTCCAACAATGGAAGAGTAAATTGAGTACCAGATCTGTAAATCCATTAAGTAAATCAAGATCACAGGTAACCAGAGAAGCCCAACTGCAAATCGGTTGCTGTTTCCGAAGAATTGGTGCCATTCGTATGTTACATCTTGAAGGTTTAAGAGATCTTTTGTGGGTTGGATCATTGGTTGGATTTGTAAGAAGTAACTGAAGATGAATTTGGTGGAGAGAACGAAGATCCAGAAGAGAGAATACTTTATGTTATCCACTAGACCTTCGCGGAGTCCACGGCCTACGAAGCTTCTGCTCTGAAACCACCATGTGATTATGTAAAAGATTCGCCAGTTTGTGTTTTCAAGGAAGTTGCGAATCCATGGGAGAACGAAGAGAGCTAGGGATAGAAGCTCGGGGGTGATGAAAACGAAAGCAACCTCTAGAAAAGTCACGACTTGCCTGTTAGCGGCGGCAGACCACCGGCGATCATTGTTTTTCTGATTCCAAATCTTGGCGTAAAACACCACGAAAATGATGGTCCAGGCGGCGGAAACGACGATCTTCAAAATCATACGAACGGCAAGCCATAATGTTTCTCGAGAAACTAGTTTATACTGCATTCCAGCATCGAGCAGAGATTGTATGAAGCGTAATACGCTCCAAGTGATGAAAACTGTCAGAACCCTAGCGCGAGTGTCTTTATCCCCTAATGCCTGCCATGGATAATCTTCTTCCCAGGAAACTATAATTGCAGCCTGTAGAAACAAAATTAACATGATCCATAGCTTATCGAAGCTCCTAAACAAGTTCAGGAACGATCTCTGCTCGACAAATCCGGTTTTCCCGACCCTTTTACCTTTACTGGTTGTTACGAAAAAGTTGCTTCCGTTATCGATTGGCCATTTTAGTTTGTCGAAACACCTTCTACTCCAGAAATACTCGTTAATGTCATCGTAATTTCGCCAATTTGAATGTGGTGCGGTTCCATTGTGGCTGTTTTCTACCTCAGCCTTAACAGTTTCGTAAATTGGCGTAACGATACGATTCAGAAAGGCATTTTCCCCTGATATGGAAGGTAAAACAGGCCTACCTGTGTTCTCATCGATGTAATCTTCGAGTATTCTGTTCAATTCCATCGCCATGTGATGGAATATATAACAGAGGCATTCAGGAATAAACCGTAGATTGGCGGACTCGCCCCAAATAAGTAGGTAAAGCGCCACGTAGAGGAGCTCACGGCGGTGGTCGGTGGCGGAGAATTCGCGACGTGAGTCGGAGATCCAGATGTTAGATTTACGGCCAATGAACGAGCACCAGTGAGTGTAGTTGCTGAGAAGTTTACGCCGAAAACGGCGGAGAACGGAGGGATCTAAGGTGTCGACATTGTCCGGCGGTGGCTGCAGTCGCATCTGAGCGTTGGCGAGATGGAGGACAAGGTGTTCGCGTTGGTTTGAGACATTGGCGGCTTGGAAACCAAAGAAGGCGCCGAGCCAGTCCAGAAGGTCGTAGTGTTGCTGCCATGGAACAAAAGGTGGTTTACGGAGGTCTCCAACGGCGCGTAAAGCAGCGGTGGCTGCGCGTACTTCCGGAAAACGAAGGGACGGATGGTCAGCGAGAAGGTTGTGGATTGGGATTATGTTGTAAGAGGTTTCAGCAGATGCGTTGCGTGCCGGTGAACGATGCGGCGGTGCTGACGGCGGAGGACGCTGCCTTGTGGCCATATGGATCTGTACTAGTAATTGAAGTCAAAATCACAAACTTTTGAATGACTACTGTGGAGGGTTTTAGAGAGAGAAAGCACAATGCGGAGAGAGAGAGAAAGAGAGTGAGTGATTTCTGAGGGTGGTAACGTAAACCTGCAGGAAAGAAGAGAAGCCGAAGGTGAAGGCAGAGGCGCGTGAGCGCGTGATGGAATTTTTTTCGATTTAAAAACGTGAGGGTATTACAGTAAATAGACATTCAAACCAGGCACTACCCACATGACCTCATGCTCAGTGGATTTCCAAATGGCAACCTTCTCTGTATGTGTTCAAAAGTTGCCTCTTCAACTCGATTTAAAAAAAAAAAAAAAAAAAAAAAAAAAAAGCTGATATATATATCGAATATTTTGATATTTCCATGAAAATATTATAGATGGACAATTATACTCATATCTATGATAGAGAAATTCCGATCTTTGTTTCAAAAAATGTACGAGGTTTTCCAAATCTATATATAGACAATTATCTTATTTTATTTGATGATTGCAAAACCCATTAAAACCCGATCTTCATAATTAAAGAAGTCTTTTCGACTCTATACAGAGTATAGAAAACAAGGACTAAAGTGACTGGATATATTATAACGGTTAAAGATCTACACTCTATATACTAATGCATAAACTAGTATCAAATATCAATATGACTCCATATATGATAAGAAATCTATTAATTTGTTACATAAAAATCTCTTAGCATTTGAATAATAGAGATTAATGACCTGCCAATTACAATGTAGAATCATAATCATAGTCAGGCCGGTCCTGACATTTCGGAGGTCTTGTACGATAATCAAAATGAGGCTCCATAATTTTATTTTATTTTTATTTTTGTTTTTATTTTTATTTTTTTAAAAATTGTTAAGTAATTTTGCTACCGTTAAATTCAAAACTTAAATTTGCTAACAAACATATGGTAAATTCACCACCATAATATTATGTCTTCACTCATTAGTAATAAGGTGTAACTGCTACAAACAACTTTAAAAAAAAGTTATTGGATTACTATTTTCTAAACACGATTTTCTAGCATTTTTAGAAACAAATTCATCTATTACACTTTCATAATCAATATTATCAAGAAGTTGTTTGTTTGTTCAAGTTTATACTTTAGCCAATATATGATACCATATAACCAGTCAAATTATAAAATCAAATCTGCAAAGTTCATACTCTACTAGACAAATAGCTTCACTTTTGATCTTTGTATAAGTCTCTTCATGAACAAGTTTATACAAAACTTCTATTATTTCAAGAGCTAGAATCCAATTTTCTTTCACACTTTCAATCTTATTTTCCTACCTTGTAGTTGACAAAGATTTTAAAACGAGACTTTTT